AGGTGGTGTTTCCATCTCTCTAGCCCTTCTGGAAGAATCCTGTGCGCTTTGATTTACAACACAGCAATGGCAGTCTGGCTTCAAGGGGCTCAAATCAAGTTCGTCTGAATGTTCCGTTTGGGCCAAAGAAAGTGCAGAGGTGGGTCAGGCCTGGCGGGTAGAAAATGGAAACTGTGGGTGCAGCTTTCCTGGCCATTTACTTTTTGAAAATCAGTTTTCTGAAAACATCTTCCTAGTAAGCCACCATGAACGTCTTGTGTTGTTTGAGGAAAATCTATCAAGTTGATCCCCTTGGAACCCCAAAACGGGGTTGCTCTAACTTTCTGAGCTGATCTCTTGACGAATTTACCAGCCCAGCAGATCCCCTTGGAAGCCACTTTTGACTGGACCTTTTTAAAAGGTATCCTGATGAGCCTTGGAATTGAACAAGGAAGCCATTGAATATAAGGAAGACCAAAGAAGAATGGATATGTTTGAATTGTGCTAGAGAGTAATATTGAAAGTACCACGAACTGCTAAAAGGACACACCAATCTGTCTTGGAAGTACGGCCAGTGTGCTCCTTAGAGGGAAGGGTGGCGAGACTTGGTCTTCCTTACATACTTTGGACATTCTGTTGAGAGACCAGTCCCTGGAGAAGGGCATTATGCTTAGTGAAGTAGAGGGGCATTGAAAAAGAGGAAGGCACTCCATGAGTTGTATTGACATAGTGACTGCAACAGTGGGCTGTAGCATAGGAACAAGGCTTGGGACCACGCAGGGCTTATTTTTGTTGTGTATAGTCACTGTGGGTCGGGACGGACTCGACGCTAACAACAATGACAAGGAGCCCTTTGGGCCTAGTTGGTTACACGTGAATCAATAGTTGGAACCCACCAGCCCCTCAGAGAGAGGAGGCTTTCTGCTCCTGTAAAGATTTTCAGCCTCATAAAACCTGGATAAGGTCACTATGAGTCAGAATTGACTTGATGGCAGTAGGTTTTGGGGAATATGACAAGATACGCCCGATTCAAACCAGAGTATTTTCAGTTGCCTCATATGCATGTAAAAGCTGGACAATAAAGAAAACCAAGAATTGATGGCTCTGAATTAGGGTGTTGGAAAGTACCACGAACTGCCAGAAGAACAGACCAGCCTGCCTTGGAAGAAGTACCGCCAGAATGCTCCTTAAAGGCTAGGAAGTGAGACTTGTCTTACAGTGGACATGGTGTCAGGAGAGACTAACCCTTGAAAAAGGATATGCTTGGTGAAGTGGAAGGTTGGTGAAAACCCTCATGGAGATCGATTGACAGCTGCAACAATGGGCTCAAACAGCAGGATGGCCGCACAGGGCTAGGCAGTGCTTTGTTCTGTCTTACCATGACAATGAGACTACAAGTGTGTTATTGAGAGAGCTTGTCTGCAGCCATCCACTGATCACAGACGTAGAGTCTTGTGTTTGTGATAAACCCATGTACTGTATGTGTAAGTTGAGGGCCTACAAGCACAATGTTTTTTACCTGCCCTTGCATCTACCCACCCTGTTGCCCATCAGTCCATATTTGCAGGCCCCAAATGATGCTCCCTTTCGCCTTCATTGTTTACTCACAAAATCCCCTCACCCTCCTTCTCTCCCCCCCACCACTACATCCCCTATAACCCTGCATCCGTTATTGTCTCTCTGCACCCACTCCTGTGCTTCACAAACTGAAAAACCCAATAGAAACAATTTTTAAAAATCAAAATAAATTGATAAGGATAAAATAAGAATATATAGAAATACAAATTAAAAAAAAAAAATACAAATAAGAAAAGACCACCCTCAACATTAAAAAAGCCAGGGATGAAATTTTCTCATGGGGACACACTAGACATACTTGCACCTAGAACAAAGCTTGGGTCAATAGGGAGGTCAGCTGACCAAGTATCAAGTTCAATCCAGCATAATCAAGATTACAATGATCTGTCTGATACTGAGGCTGTTTGAGACCCTTGCCTGTGGCTAGTGGGGGTCTGCCATTGGCTTAACCGAACTAGTTACTCTGCAAATGAGTTTTGGGATCCCACTGCCTCCACAGCCTTCTACCACTTGGGGGGTTCATAATTTTAGCTCTGACACATTTTCCCTTCGTCATATTTGAGTTTTGTTATTGTCATCCTTGGATCACACAAGGTAATGTGCTTCCATGTGGACCGAGTTGACTCCTTGTTTAGATGGCTGCTTGTTTGAGTACAAAGGCCGGTAACTTTACAGCAGTGGTTCAAACCTGTGGGTCAAGACCCCTTTGGGGGTCGAATGACCCTTTCACAGGGGTCGCCCAATTCATAACAGTAGCAAAATGGCAGGAAGTAGCAACAAAAATAATTGTATGGTTGGGGGGTCACCACATGAGGAACTGTATTAAAGGGTCGCAGCATGAGGAAGGTTGAGAACCACTGCTTTACAGGAATAGATCACCTCTTGCCCCCCTCAGAAATGGTGGTGTCAAACTACAGACTTGTAGTTAGCAGTCCAGCGCATAACCACTACACCGCCAGGTCTCTTCCATATGTCATTCCAAAACCCAATCCAATCCACTACCATCAAGTCCTTGCTGACTCATAGTGACCCTATAGGACAGGGTCGAGCTGCCCCTGTGGGGTTCCGAGGCTGTAACTCTAAGGGCGAAGAAAGCTTTGTCTTTCTCCCTTAGAGCAGCTGGTGGTTTCAGACTCTGGACCTTTTGATTAGCAGTCCAATGTGTAACCACTATGCCACCAGGGCTCCTTCCAATGTCATGAGGGGATTGATTGTAAATGAAAACAACAATGATAGATACCACTACACATTTTAGTAGAAGCCTAAAATCCACTAACACTGCTACAGACAACACGAGAATGTGGCATACCCAGAGCTCTCTTTCATTGCTGGTAGGAATGTGAAAGGATACAGCTGCTTTGAAAGACTGGCACTTTCTTGTAAAGCTAAATGTAGTCTTAGCAAACAACTTGGCAGTTGTGCTCCTAGCTATTTATCCAGATGAATGAAAAACTTAGCTTACCATCATGCACGTGGGTGCATTGTGAATTGCAGCTCTATTCATAATTAACCAAAATTGGAAGCAAGGAAGATGCCCTTCAACAAATGAATGAATAAACAAATGTGGTGCCTCCAGACCAGGGAATACTATTCAGGGATAAGAAGCTACTAAGCCACAAAAGACCCGGAGGACCCTTAAATGAGAGAAGCCCCTCCTGAAGAGGCAACCTACACTCTAGTCTCATGACCTGGCGTTCTGAAAAAGACAACAATCTCAGAAACAATAAACCGATCGGTGATCTCCAGGGACTGGGGCAGGGGATAACTGTGACATCCATTTGTCAAACCTGTGGAGCTGTCTGTGAGCAGGGTGAACCCAGCGTAAGCTATGGGACTGCTTAACGGAGCAGTAGTGGCTCATCAGTCACTCGTACCACGCAGCGCGGTGTTCATAACAGGGACCTCTAGGTAGTGGGGAGGGCGTATTGGTGAACTCTGCCTTCTGCTCAATTCCACTGAAAAACTCGAAACAAATGAAAGAATGAGATGAAGAATCGCTCGTAGTGCTGAGCTAGGAGGATGTGCATATGGGGTTGCTGTTGTCACTGTGAGGAGAGCCTAGCCGAACCCGAAACCTGTACGCTGAGATGGGCAGATGAAGAGACGGAGAAACAAAGCCTTAGTGGCCTCCTGCCATTCCTGAGACCTTGGCCAGCTGTGTTAGCCAATACATTCCACCTTTTCTTTATTCTTTTTTTAAATCATTTTATTAGGGGCTCATACAACTCTTAGCACAATCCATACATACATCAATTGTGTAGAGCACATTTGTACATTCATTGCCCTCATCATTCTCATGACATTTGCTCTCCACGTAAGCCCCTGGAATCAGCTCCTCATTTTCCCCTGCCTCCCTGCTCCCTCCTCCTTCTTGAACCCTTGATAATTTATAATTATTATTTTGTCATATCTTACACTATCCGATGTCTCCCTTCACCCACTTTTCTGTTGTCTGTCCCCCAAAGAGGAGGTTATATGTAGATCCTTGTAATCGCTTCACCCATTCTACCCTCCCCTCCCTCCACCCTCCCAGTATCGCCACTCTTACCACTGGTCTAGAAGGGATCATCCGCCCTGGCTCCCCTGTGTTTCCAGTTCCTATCAGTACCAGTGTACCTCCTCTGGTATAGCCAGATTTGTAAGGTAGAATTGGGATCATGATAGTGGGGGGGTAGGGAAGAAGCATTTTAGGAACTAGAGAAAAGTTGTATGTTTCACTGTTGCTACACTGCACCCTGACTGGCTTGTCTCCTCCCCGCGGTCCTTCCATAAGGGGGTGTCCAATTGCCTACAGATGGGCTTTGGGTCTCCACTCTGCACTACCCCTCATTCGCAATGATACGATTTTTCTTTGATCCCTGATACCTGATCCCTTCAACACCTTGTGATCGCATGGGCTGGTGTGCTTCTTCTATGACATTCCACCTTTTCTGAAGCCTGTTCTATTTGGGTTGATTTCACATGGGCAACTAAGAGTCCGCACTACTCAAGGCCTCAGTTGCTCAGTGTCAGGGTCGTCATGAGTAGGAATGGACGGAGATGATCTCTGGGTCTGCAGCCCCCAGCCCCTCCTCACTTGGTGATCTCCTCCATGGCTGCCTCCGGCAAGGCCAGCATCTCCACCATCAGGGACAGGATCTCGAAGAGCAGAGTGTGGGGGTTCGGAGGAGTCACGTCTGTCAGGACATTCTGTTCTGGGGACGTGGATGATGGCTCCCGTTAGCATTTGGCAGCTCAGGATGCCTACCCCTCCCACAGCTCTGGTTGCCCTGGTCTCCCCTGCTTACCCACAGAGCAGAAGAAGCGCTTGGTGTCCGTCATCACGGCCAAGAAGTCTTTGAAGTCCACGTGACCATCTCCTGTGGGGCTCAGAGAGGTAATGAGATAGACCAGGACCTTCCGGGCCAGGCTCAGGCACCAGGACCCAAGCATGGCTACCAGCACTCTACTCACTCAACAGGCCTGATCATAAAGGTAACAGCTACTTGGTACAGCAAAGGTGGTGCACACAGGAAAGTAGAGGCAAATAGGAAACTCGCAGGTTCAAGGCTACGAGCCCGGCTCCACCCCTTACTACTGGCTCTGTGACCTTGATGAAGTCTGTCCACTCTGAGCTTCATGGATCCCACCGGCAGGGTGAGCGTCATAATGATCCTGTTCTCATGGGGAGCTGGCCTGGTGGTGCAGTTCAAAACTACCAGCCAGCTCCTTGGGAGAAAGAAGTGGCTTCCTACCCCTGTCAAGAGTGACAGTCTCAGAAACACAGGGGCAGTGCTTCCCTGTCCGGTGGGGTCCCCATGAGTCAGAATTGACTCGATGGCAGTGAGTTTTGTGGTTTTTATGTTTTTAATCTCAGGGTAAAATGAGGCAAAGCACTTAGACCATCCCAGGCTAGCTCCGTGATCAACACACTTAGAACACCTCAGCGCTCCCACCGCGCAGGAGCGGGTCTGTTTTGTTCTGCATCTTGTCTCGAGGGTTGCACGTAGGTAGACCAGATGCCATCCCGGCGATCCTAACGCAGGGCGGCTGCAGCAGGTCAGGGTGGAACCATGTTTCCTGGTGTTTCCAGTGGCTGCTTTTTGAGAGGTTGGTCACCAAGCCTTTCTTCCGAGGCGCCTCTGGGTGGACTTGAGCCACCAGCCTTTCAGTGAGCAGCCGTCACGTACACTAGCTGCACCAGCAGGGGTGCCGTGAGGAAGAGCAGCAGCTGGGATTGCTGGGTGCCTTCTGTGCACCCGGCGCTGTGATCACTGCTGGGCCTGGATCGTGAGGCGGGGCCGTGCTCAGCCTCAGTTGACAGGTGAGGGTGCCCAGGCTTACTGAACAGCGTCCAAGGTCACCCACCCTGGTCAAATGAATGGCTGGGGGAGTACACACCCTGGGGGTAGGAGCCAGGTTTTAGTCACCTCAGAGTCCCCAGAATCCAGCCCTGAGAAGGTGTTCAGAGAGTCTTCACATTGGGTACTAGGACCAGCTGCTTCATTTGCAGGGCCCCAGGGAAAAGGAAAATGCAGGGCGAGGCTTGTTCACAGATGAAGAATGTTAGGATGGGTCATTGAAAACACAAAACTCAGCCCTGCTGACGCGTAGTGGCCCTGCCCCGTGTTTCTCCTGAGGAGCTACTGGTGGTTTTGAACTGCTGACCTTCTGGATTGATGCCCAGCTTGTAACCACTACACCACCAGGGCTCCCAGCCATTGCAGACCATTACATCAAGCACCTCAACGTGAACCAGTTAATGAATTCTGCCTCCCAGTGACCCAGGCCCTTCCGAGTAGGGCAGTGCTGCTCTGTTGGGTCTACATGGCTGCGACCTTCCAGAAGTAAATCACCAAGTCTCTCTTCCAAGGCTCTTGTGGACAGGGTGAGCTGCCTATCTTTTACTTAACCAGCCAAGTGCCGCCAAGGGACACCAAACTGATAGCAGGGACCTTGTAAACCAGGGTCTCCGAGCAACTACACAGGTCTTACTTCTGTGAGGCAACCCTGCCTGGGACTCAGAATGAAGTCCCTCTCACCCCCATCCTCACCATTGATATCAGCACTTATGAGGGCGTCCTCCACCTGGGCTGGGGTCAGCGAGATGCCCACCAGGAGCAGGGTGTTCTCCAGGCTCCGTGCATCCACCTCCCCATGGCCATCGAAGATCTCAAAGTAGCTGCGGAAGGCTGTGGGAACATGCAACACAGTGTATCTTGCTTCCATCTTTTATCACGTCCCCTCCAGCCACCCTCCCAGATCCTCTGCTACCATGGCCAGGGAGAGGGGTAGCTGCTCTTGTTAGGAGCCAAGGCGTGTGTTCTGACTCTTGGTGACCCCATGTGACAAAGCAGAACTGTGCCCATAGGGTTTTCTTGGCTGTAATCTTTACAGGAAAGGAAGGAAGGAAGGAAAGAGATATCTGAAGAGACAGGTGTTCTTTCACTTTTCATAGTTCAAGGAGCTTTATTTGCTAACGCTGTCTTTTTTCATCACTGAAGCTTGCCCTTGAACATAGAGTCACTGAAGTGAATGGAAGAAATGATGACGTCAAAGAGCTGAACAGAAGCCTTCCTCTTGAGAAAGCTAAGTGTGGTGATGCAACGTGCAGAGACCTGGAGATAGCGAATCAAAAGGGGTGGCGAGCACGCCTGGTATATCTCCAGCTGAAATCCCTGATGGAAAAATGCAGGCCTCGAGCCCATGCGATTGAAGAATTCTATCAGCTATGTTTTGAACAAGGTGGGCACATTTAAAAAAAAGAAAGATGGAAAGAATACAGAGTCACTGTGCTGAAAAGAATACTCGACGCCCAACCATTTCAGGGGGTAGCGCAGGCTCAAGGACTGATGGTCCTGCGGGAAGACGTCCACGCTGCACGGAAGGCACTGGTGGAACGCAAGACTCCAGGAACTGGCGGGATTCAACGGAGATGTCTCAATAAATGGATGCATGGCCGGAAGGGCTCGGGGGCCGGCCAACAGGATGGAGGAGATCCATTTGGTGCCCATTTCAAAGAAAGGCAGCCCAACAGAATGTGGGATATATTTGATATCACGCATGAATAAAGTTTTGCTGGAGATCATTCAAAAAAGGGGTCATCGTAGGACATCCATGGGGGAGCTGCCAAAAGTTCCAAACCAGATACAGAAGCTGCAGAACCAGGTATGTCATCGCTGACGTCAGACGCACCTTGGTGGAAAGCTGAAGCAACCAGAAAAGTGTCCACCTGTGTTTCATTGACTATGCTGAGACTGTGTGGGTCCTGACTAATTACGGTCAGTGAAAAAGAGGAAGGCCAGCTGTGGGCTGGACTGATGCAGTGACTACCACAGTGGGCTCCAACAACGACCGTGACGATGGCGCAGGGCTGGGCCACTTGGGGTTGTTGAGTCAAACCCAGCTTGATGACACCTGACCGTGCCAACTGCTGCCCAGGATCCCACAGGGAGGTCTGGGAGGCTCTGCCCGGGCCTGGCCTGCCCTCACCTTCTTCTTGCTTCTGGGTGAGCTGCTCCTTGGCCCTGTCCTCCCAACTCGGACCCGATGTCAGTGGGCTGTGCTGGTCCTGCTGCTGCCTGCAGAGGACAGAGCCGGGCCCAGGACACACAGCCAACCCCTCTCCTGCCCCGAGCCCAGCGGCCAAAGCTAGGGGAGGGGCTCCGTTACAGCAAAGGTTATGAGGGAGATAGCCCTGGAGGGGGGTTGCGAGGCTGGGGAATAAAAAAAAAAGTCGGGGGTGGAGCACAGGCAGAATGAGGAGAAATGTGGAGGGAATGTGAAGGAAGAGAGACCCCATAGGAGGAGAGGGTAGGGAAATGGGCTCAGAAATAGGGAAGGGGAGTAAGACTGGAGAGAGCGAGAGGAGACAGTCATGCGAGACAGAGGACACATGGCCAGGAAGGATGGGCGGTGCCCAGGACATGAGTCTGGAAGAACAAGATGCAGGGGGTCCTGGGATTCTAATTAGGTGGGTGGGGGTCTTACAATGCCATGAAGTAACTCAGGCTGCTTTCATAACTCTGGTGCAAGAAGTCCGCTCTCCTCCAGGGCAAGTGCACCTCCTGGACTGGCAGTGCTGCGCTGGGCACTGAGGTCGGACCTGAAGTTCCCATAGGCACAGACACTGGCCCGGGGGCAGTGGGCCGGGCCCTGGACAGGGCCATGGGGGTTGTGGAGGTGTAGGTCTGAGCCAGTGTCAGAGGCAGGCTTGGCGTTGAGATGCTGACAGAGCCCGAGGTGGGCATGGGGGTCAGATTCCTGGGCAACTTCCGGGCTATTGGGCCCCGGACCTTGGAGACCCTCCGGTGCATAGCCTCTTCTTCCTCCCCTACCTCCAGCAAGCATTTCATGAAGCCTTGCCAGGGAGTCCCGAAGTTCTGGGGCCCTATGGCCACCATGCGCTCCTGAGGCTGCCCCTGCACATTCTCCAGCTGACTCTGCAGTTTGATGTCCCTCACCTCCTGGGGACAAGGACAGGGGAGTCAGCAGCCCCCAGCCGGCCAGGTTGTCCCAAGGAGCTTCTCTCTGTCACCCACTCCCCCTCACTCTGCCCCTTCTTTTCTGAGCCCCTGGAAGACATGCCCCTAAGCCCATACACATCCCAAGCAGCTTCCCACCCAGACCCTGGCTCTCAGTGGCTCTTGGGTCACATCCCAGCTCTCAGAGCTGAAGTCTGGAACAATTCACTGAGCTCTACTTGGTGCCACCCCTTAGTTTAGGTCCCTCCTCGCATTACTGCACCCTCAGTGAAGGGCCTTGTTCACACCCATCGTTGTTTGCCTGATGATAGAAGGCAGGTAGGCTTCAGGAGGGCAGGGCCACGTCTGCCTCTTCTGTGCACGTACGCCCAGCCGCCAGCACAGAGCAGCCACTCGGGAAATGCCTGTGCAGTCATCGGTGAGTCCAGCCACCTCCTGCCTCTGTCCCCCTCTGGTCTGCCTTCCCTCTGATGATGGGGTGGAGACCGGGCCAGGTTACATGCACACTCCAGCCCAGTCCCGCTTCCAAGCCAAGGTGCTCATCTTGAACATGAGCTCTCTCGCTCTCTTTCTGTACATGCCCTTCCAGCAGGATGAGATTTATGTTCGACACCAGAGGCCTCCCATTGGCATATAAATAGGCTGTGATGTCTTTCTCCTATAAAAACCCAACCTCTCCACTCTGTACCACAGCCCCAGCCCCAGCCCCAGTCCCAGCTGCCGCTCTCACTCTCAGCTACCCCTGAGGACAAAATCACTGCCAAGAGTTGGCTGCATTTGGTCTCCACTTCCCTCCCAGTCACGATGGGCATCTTGCCCACCTTGCCCCAAGCTGCTCTTGCCAAGGCCATCTTTGATCTTTGACCCGCTCTCGGATAGCCCCTCAGAAGTGCTGGACGCAAGTGGCCACTGCTCCCCTCTAGAAACACTTTCTGTTCTAGACTCCCACCCTGGCCACCCCTTCCCGATGCCTTTGTCAGCTTGTCTTACTTTTGCTCCATTTCTGGGGTCAGGGGAGGGGGTGGTGGTGGTTGGCTTCCGGCTTCATTCCATTTCTGAATTCATTCTCTCTCTAGATCTTATCTTCTGCCGGAACTCTATGCCTCACACTTCTATCCAATCCCAACATCTGACTACTAAGGCCCAGCTTGACAGTTTTCCTGGAGTGTCTAGAACATGGCCAAAGCAGAATCTTTGGCTCCTCTCACGGGCCTCTCCCCTGGTGTCACCACCCACCTCAGTTAGGAAGACCCTCTTGTTCAGGCCCCAGACCTAGAATTTTTTTGGATTCCTCTTTCTCCTACCCATGTAGCAAGCCCTTAGCTTTCCTCGTCCCCCAACTTCAAGCACAGTACTCGTTATCCACTAGTCTCATAAAAAACCAAACCCACCACCATCCTGTCAATTCTGACGCATAATGACCGTATCGAACAGGGCAGAATCCTTCTGTAAGGCCTCATTACAGAGCACACGGCCTCATCTTTCTCTCAAGGAGTGGCAGGTGAGTTTGAACTGTCAACTTGGCAGCTAACAGCCCAGGCGGTAACTCACAGGGCCGCCAGGCTCCTATGCACTAGACACTCAGCACCAATTAGTGGAATTGAATTGCCCTCGCTCCTTTCCGCTAGCCATGGTGTCCAGCCCAGGCTGTGCTTGGATGGGGCCGGGGGCCGGGGAGAGAAGTGATAGACACACACAGGAGGTGACCTCTTTCTCCTTTGATGTCTCAGCAGCCCAGAGAAGGACCTCCCATTCGTCCTATCTGTTCATGTGTTCAACTCATTCATATTGCATGCCTACTATGTCAGGCATCGGTACACGCACAGAGTGTCGAGTTGTGACTAAAATACAGTGGCTGCCCTCAGGGAGCTTAGATCCTAGATAACACGTAAGTTAACTAAGTAACAAAACACTGGATTTTTAAAAGGAACACAAAGACAAAAAACTAGGGTAATAGGACAGAGGTCAACTGCAGTTGACCAGCTACTGAGATGGAGTGGCCAGGGAAGGATGCGTTGAGAAACTTCCATGACTCCATGGAGTCTGCCAGGAGAATGTTTACGGGAAGAATTCCAGGCACAGGGATTGTAGTACCAAGGCCCTGAAGTGGAAGACTTTGAATCTTAGATTCGGAAAAATGGACCGTGACATGTGGACCAGGGTGATGGGAGAGGACGTGGAGAGAAGAAATGGATTCAAGATTCATTTTGTATAGTGCTTGGCAGGAATGACTTCCTTATGAAGAATTATAGCAGGAGAAGGGGTAGTCAGAGTGATTCTGAGCTGCTTGTCAGGAGCAGGCACTTGAGCCCGTGGTGGTGCTGTCTGCTGAGATGTGGACGCTTAGGGCAGGAGCAGGCTCGAGTTGGATGCTGGTCTGCTTCAGTTTGGGCAGTGAATTAGCTATTCAAACGGACTGCCATCCAGTCAACTCTAACTCGACCAGCCTGCAGTCGAGAGTAGAACGAACTGCCCCTGTGGGTTTCCAAGGCTGCACATCTTTACAGGAGCAAAAAGTCTCCTCTTCCTCCCGGGGGGCACCAGGTGTGTTCAAACTGCTGACGTGGCAGTTAGCAGCCCAGTGAGTAAGCCACCCAACCACTAGAGGTCCTTGGAAATCAGTGAGGTAGCCCAACATGTACATCTGGAGTTTGAAGGAAGGTCTGGGTGGAGGTATGGCTTTGGGACTCATTAGAGGGACTGAATGATGTCACTCAGGGAGTGATTGGAGGAGCGAGGCCTCAGGTAGGGTAGCCAGGGAAGGAGACCAGGCAGAGCGACAGCCGGAGAACCACGAGGCTGCTGCCCCAGGACCTGGAGGCGGCGGCCCTGAGGAGATGCTGTGCCTCGGTGAGGTCTGCCAAGCCAGTGTTTCCCTTTGAAAGTAGGGCAAGTTAGCAAGGGCAGCGCTGCAGGCATTGTGCTGTGAAAGGGCACAAGGAAGTGAGCCTTGCCTACAGGGGAATGTGGGCCAAAGGAGGTGTGTGTGTGTGTGTGTGTGTGTGAATGTGCAGGTGTACAGGGCAAATCTATTTTGCATTCAACAATTCATACACAGTTTGCTTCAGGCTATTGATTGCAATCTCCACGTGGTAGCATCATCTGTCCCGCTTCCCTCTGTGTGTCTGGTGTCCATGCTTCTTTCCCGACCCTTCTGGACTTTGTCCTTGGGTCAGTGCTGCCCGCTTGATCTCCAATGGTTAATTACCCTAAGGAGTGTATACAAGGGAGACCTTTTTTGTTTGTTTTGTTTTACGATGGTAGATAGCACGCCGTGTTTGTGTGCTGATGGGAATATTGCCGGAGAAATGGATGTTGCTCGTGTAGGGGAGGGGGATAGAAGCGGTAGTGGAAAGGGGGTGGGGCTTAATGTGTAAGGAGCACCAATAGAGGCGGGAGGGGGTGAACTTGGGGTGGGGGGGATCTGGCAGGTCTTCTCATCTGATGTGTTTCATCTTTCTGTGGCACATGAGCAAGGTTATCTATCAGTGAGGGGAACAACATGGAGGGTGCTACTGTGAACCCACATCTTGGAGAGGATGGGGTGGCGTGGTAGGGAGGAGCAGGTCGGTGTCCAAATCATCTGAGATTAGCGGTCATGGCTGGAAGACAGCCTTTTTGTCCGTTGTGTGGTTGGGTTGAGCAGCTCCGGTGGCGGTGCATAGAGAGTGGATGGTTAGGGTTTGAGTTTTCAACAGTAAGTACAGCACAGAGAGAGACGGGGCAGATGACCTGAAGGTGTGGGTGAGGTCATGAGGGTGAGAGGCAGTGCGCCCAGGCTATGCCATCAGGCCAAAGAGCCAGGAAGTGCGGACAGGACTTCTGAGGTGGTTGGGGGAGCCTTGAAGGAGTAGCAGGTTATGCCTTGGGCTGCTAACCGCAAGGTCAGCAGTTTGAAACCACCAGCCACTCTGAGGGAGAAAGATGAGGCTTTCCACTCCTGTCAGGTTTACAGTACTGGGGGTAGGGAGGGGAAAAAAAGGAGCTGATACCACAGGCTCAATAGAAAGTAAATGTCTAGAAAAGAATGATGACAACATAGGTACAAATATGCTTGATACAATGGATGTATGGTTTGTTATAAAAGTTGTAAGAGCCCCCAATGAAATAATTTTTTAATTAAAAAAACGAGTTACAGTCTGGGAAACCCATAGGGGCAGTTCTGCTCTGTCTTATGGTGTCTCCATGGGTCGGGATTGACCCCTGGCAGTGGGTAGAAGTGGTCAGGTGGGTGGGTGGGTGAGTGAGAGAGGGCTCGGGTCATCTCCTAAGTGTCTCTGCAGCTTTGTGTTGTGTGGCGAGGACAAATGGGTGAAGGAAATCCATGCTGACGTGGAAAAGACCCCAGTCGGGGGTGAAGCGAAGGACCCAGCAGTGTCAGGGCATCCTTGCACCCTGCCCCCGACCCCCAACAAAAGCACCCCCGCGTGCACACACAGGCCCACATACGTTCCCCAGCTTGTCTTCAAATGCCCTAATGTTTCTGCCCTTGTCACCTTGCCCTTCTTGATTCCCCCACAGACAGCCCAGCCCATCCACTACGGCCGACTTACTGGTGAAGGAGCAGGCTCTGGGTCTGGCTGGGTCTCCACAGCCTCTCCCCTAATAAGGAGGAGAAACGCGCCCCACGTAAGGGAGGGGTTCAGTCAGGGTTTGTGCCTTGTAGCTCCCTTCCCTCCGCCCCCAGATCTCACTCAGCTTCACCACCCACCCACCCTGGCCTTCAGCTCTTAGAGGGGCTCTTCATTCCCTTGCGAGCCCAGTTGGGTCACGGCCCCTAAAGGAGAAGCCCAGGAAACAGAGGATTCAGAGGTTAGAGCTAGGATGTTCCTCAGAGGGCACTTATTCTAACGTTTTACAGGTGGGGAAACAAGCTCAGGAAGGGTCTGCCTTGCCCTGGGCCCTGTTCGGGGCAAAGCAGTCAGAACTGGGGCCGTCTCAGGCCTGCGCAGGAAAGGCCACCTTGCTGGACCTTCGAGGAC